AAAAAAAAAAAAAAAAAAAAAATACTAAATGTATATTACATTGTAATATAATCTATTTTATCCTGGTAGGTACGAAGGATTTTAATATTTTCACTATTTTCTTTTTGATCGGAAGTTTAAATTTAATAGTGTTGTTATTTAAATTTCAAACATTTCTTGTGCCATATTGTGTATTATTTTTAATAAGAGCAGATGTCTGAGCATTTTCTTCAACTGTGGATTTCCTTGTAATTGGCTGACGAGCTCGCCATGCAAAATGACTGCGTGACATATCCACATCTCTGAATGTATTCARCATAAATATTGCAGTCACAGTTATAAGGAATCCACAAATRATACCAATAATATCCTAAAAWGCATATAAAATAAGTAAATGAAGAAAAACAATTCAATTGACTACCTATACTGAAAAAAAATAAGTACATTTAAATGCAGATGTTCCCATTCCTTGAATAATATTGCTGAGGCTGTTATTACAAGAGTTGTAAACATGACATAATAAACTGGTGTAACTACACTCGTGTTGAAAGTGTCTAAAGCTTTGTTCAAATAGTTCATTTGTATACATACAAATGTAATCAACAAGATKATAAACATATAAGTTAACCAATTTGTGAATTCACTTTGACCTAATATTACAAATATTGTTGAATAAAATATAAATATTTAATTACAAAGAACAMAATAATTTTTTTTTAAATCTATAAGTTAGATACCTGATATTGTTTCTCGTATAGCAAGTCCAAGTCCTTTACACCACATAACAGTTAATGAACCACTAGTCGAACACATAATAACATAAACTATAACATTTGATGAACCATACCGTGGACCAAAATAAAAGAATATTGAGAAAATTATGACTAACATTATGCTAGTGTATATGATGAAACCTAAAATGCAAAGAAGACATTATCAGTAAATAATAAAAATCTCAATYCAATAAATATATACAAGAAACCCTACCAGGTTCTGTAAGTTTCTGTAATAAGTCTTCAAGGGAGTCAACTTCTTCTTCTTTTGGAGAATGAATAACCATCACTGTTGAACCAATTATACACATAAAGCAACCAATCTAAAATCATGACAACATTATTATAATTGTTTCGTTTAACCCAAATATATCTCATGCATTATCATTTATAATTCATTAAGTATAAAATGTTTACATGACAAATTTACATTCAAAAAAATAAAAATGTATCCTCACCTAAATACTAAGTTATTCATAGTATTCATACAATTGTACAATTTGAATGCTGAAACCTAAGTTACTTATTTTAAAATCTAAAAATGTAATATTTTGTATACCCATTAGTTGGAAATATAGTTGGATTTATAATTATGGATTTTCTCAGCAATACGAGAGAAATATAAAAGTAATACTTATGTTTCCTTCAAATTTATAGT